ATAGTTGGAGACTTTAACACCCAACTGACAGCACAGGACAGATCCTCCAAACAAAATCAACAAAGAAATAATGGACTTAAACAGAACTCTAGATCAAATGGGCCTGACTTACATTTACAGGATATTCTAACCCAAAACCACTGAATATACATTCTTCTCATCAGCTCATGGATCATTCTCTAAGATTGACCATATCCTAGGATACAAAGCATGTCTTAAACAATTTAAAAAAATAGAAATTATACTATGTATCTTTTCAGACCACAATGGAATAAATGTAGACATCAATCCTAACAGGAGTTCTCATTTCTACACAAAGTCATGGAAACTAAACAAGTTTCCTTCTTGTTGAATGATCTTCTGCTGAATGATCACTTCATAAATGAGGAAATCAAGATGGAAATAAAAAGATTCTTTGAACTAAATGACAAAGGAAACACGAGTTACCAAAATCTGTGGGACACAGCTGAAGCAGTCCTGAGAGGAAAGTTTATTTCTATAAATGCCTATTTCCAAAAGTCAAAAAGATCACAAATAGACAACCTAATAAATCATCTCAAAGAGCTGGAAAAAGAAGAACAGACCTACCCCAAACCCAGCAGAAGTGAAATCATTAAGATCAAATCAGAACTAAATGAAATTGACAACAGGGAAACCATACGGAAGATTAATAAAACAAAAAGTTGGTTCTTTGAAAAATAAACAAAATTGACACACCTTTGGCTAGACTAATGCAAAGCAGAAAAGAAAAGTCTCTAATAAGCTCCATCAGGAACAATAAAGGAGAAATTACAACTGATGCCCTGGAGATACAAGATATAATTTATGAATACTATAAAAACCTCTATGCACACAAACTGGAAAATGTGGAGGAAATGGACAATTTCTTAGAAACACACAGCCTCCCTAGGCGTCAACCAGGAAGAAATAGAATTCCTGAACAGACCAATCAAGTACTGAAATTGAAACAGCAATAAAAAACCTTCCTAAAAAAAAAAAGTCCTGGACCAGATGGTTTCACACCCGAATTTTACCACACTTACAAGGAAGAACTGGTACCTATCCTGCAGAAATTATTCCACAACATGGAGAAGGATGGAATTCTCCCCAACACATTTTATGAAGTGAACATAACCCTGATACCGAAATCAGGAAAGGATGCAACAAAAAAAGAAAACTACAGACCAATATCCCTTATGAATATAGATGCAAAAATTCTCAACAAAATCCTAGCCAATCGAATCCAGGTGCTTGCCAAGAAAATAATCCATCACATCCAAGTGGGCTTCATCCCAGGGATGCAGGGATGGTTCAATATGTGCAAAACTATAAATGTAATTCACCATATAAACAGAAGCAAAAACAAAGACCATATGATCCTCTCAATAGACGCAGAAAAAGCATTTGACAAAATTTTACACCCTTTTATGATAAGAACGCTCAACAAAATAGGCATAGACGAGGCTTACCTAAAAATAATACAAGCCATATGTGACAACCCACAGCCAATATCATACTGAATGGGGAAAAATTGAAAGCATTCCCACTCAGAACTGGAACAAGACAAGGTTGCTTACTATCTCCACTTCTATTCAACATAGTGCTGGAAGTCCTTGCTACAGTACTCAGACAAGAGAGCGGAATTAAGGGCGTCCAAATGGGAGCAGAAGAGATCAAACTCTCACTCTTCGCTGATGACATGATATTATACCTAGAAAACCCCAAGGATTCAACCAAGAGACTCTTTGAACTGATAAATGAATTTGGTAAAGTCTCAGGATACAAAATCAATACACAGAAATCAGAGGCATTCATATACGCCAACAACAGTATAAGTGAGAACCAAATCAAAGACTCAATTCCCTTCAAAATAGCAACAAAGAAAATAAAGTACCTAGGAATATATTTAACTAAGGAGGCAAAAGACCTCTATAGGGAGAATTATGAAACACTGAAGAGGGAAATAGCAGAAGATATAAACAGATGGAAGAATATACCATGCTCATGGGTCAGCAGAATCAACATTGTTAAAATGTCTATACTACGCAAAGTGACCTACAGAGTCAATGCAATCCTTATTAAAATACCATCATCATTTTTCACAGATGTAGAAAAAATAGTTTTACACTTCGTATGGAACCACAGAAGACCCTGTATAGCAAAATCAATCCTAGGCAATAAAAACAAAATAGGAGGTATCAATTTATCAGATTTCAAGCTATACTACAAGGCTATAGTCATTAAAACAGCTTGGGACTGGCACAAGAACAGGGACATTGACCAGTGGAACAGAACAGAGAACCCAGATATAAAACCATCCTCATATAGCCAACGAATCTTCGAAAAAGCAGACAAAAACATACACTGGGGAAAAGAATCCTTATTCAATAAATGGTGCTGGGAAAACTGGATAGCCACATGTAAAAGACTGAAACAGGATCCACATCTTTCACCTCTCACAAAAATCAACTCATGCTGGGTAACCGACTTTAACATTAGGTGTGAAACTATTAGAATTCTAGAGGAAAATGTTGGAAATACTCTTCTAGATATTGGCCTAGGCAAAAAATTTATGAAGAAGACCCCAAAGGCAATCACAATAGCAAGAAAAATTAAAAAATGGGACCTGATCAAATTAAAAAAGCTTCTGCACAGCCAAAGAAACTGTCAGGAGACAAACAGACAACCCACAGAATGGGAGAAAATTTTCACAAGCTACACATCTGATAAAGGGCTGATAACTAGAATCTATTTAGAACTCAGGAAAATCAACAAGAAAAAAATCAAACAACCCTATCAAAAAATGGGCAAAGGACATGAACAGAAACTTCTCAAAGAAAGACAGAATAATGGCCAAGAAACATGAAAAAATGCTCAACATCTCTAATCATCAGGGAAATGCAAATCAAAACCACAATCAGATATCACTTAACTCCAGTGAGAATGTCCTTTATCAAAAAGTCCCCAAACAATAAATGTTGGCGTGGATGCGGAGAGATAGGAACACTCCTACACTGCTGGTGGGAATGCAAAGTATTCCAACTTCTGTGGAAAGCAATATGGAGATACCTTAAAGTGATACAAGTAGATCTACCATTTGATCCAGCAATTCCAGTACTGGGCATCTATCCAAAAGATCGAAAGTCATTTTATGAAAAAGACACCTGCACTCGAATGTTTATAGCAGCACAATTCACAATTGCAAAGTATGGAAACAACCCATGAACCCATAAATCCATGAGTGGATTAATAAAATGTGGTATATGTATACCATGGAGTACTACTCAGCTTTAAGAAACAACGGTGATCTAGCATCTCTTGAATTTTCCTGGATAGAGCTGGAACCTATTCTATTAAGTGAAGTATCTCAAGAATGGAAAAACAAGCACCACATGTACTCACCAGCAAATTGGTATTAATGGATCAACACCTAAGTGGACATATAAGAAAAACCTTTATCGGGTGTCGGGCGGGTGGGAGGGGTGGGAGGGGATGGGTATATATAAACACAATGAGTGAGATGTGCAACGTTTGAGGGATGTTCACGCTTGAAGCTCTGATTTGAGGGGGTGGGGACATGGGCAATATCTGTAACCTTAACATTTGTACCCCCATAATATGCTGAAATAAAAAAATTATATACTTTAAATGTTCCAAATTATTAGAAAGGATGCATAATCAGAACAATGTAAAGAAAAGAGCACTAGGGCATCAAATCCAGTTTCCAGAAGTAGCAACAGTTGATAATGTCAGCATTTCTGTGCCAGCCTGTCCTGTGGGCAAGATTTTGGCTGTATTTCTATAGATGGACCTTCCCTTTTTCTGAGCTTGATCATGTAGACTTCTCAGAAATACTATGAGCTATCTGATAGACTTTCAGAAGATCTGTTTTTGACTTAAATTTGACTTAAATTGACTTAAATTCACCAGAGTTTATTTAAATTCACCAGAGTTGCTTTTGATGAATAACTTGCACAGTCAGAAATCAGTACCTAAAGTGGTGAGACCCTTTATGGACCCTCAGGGAGATGCAGGAATTGATTATCTAGGTTCATTGGGGCTGAAGGCAGGGCATTCAGTTGCCCTGAATGCCAATTCAGTTGGCATTTCTTGGCTTGCAGTGGCAGCTAGCTGTTTTCATGATCATTTGTGCTTATGATTATCACTGAAAGCAAGGCATTAGGTAGTTCAGTATCCACCCCCAACCAAAGAATAGGGAGCATATAAGGACTGTTTCGTCATGGGACTGGCTGCTTCTAATGGGGCTGGCCAGTGCAAAGAGAAAAGATGGGAAGTTCAACTTCTTAAGTTCTCTGCTCAAGACACAAACTGAAACCCAGGCATTCTGTAAAAAGAAATTATTACTTTGTGTATCCATTGAATTCTTTGCTTAAATTCCCAGCCTGTCATTTGAAACTCAAGACTTTGATCATGAAAGGGGATGGCAGGGGACACTGGGAGAATGGTGATATGTGGGCGGATGTGGAAGAATGTGAATACTTTAAATTGCTAATTCCCACTGAGCTTCCTGTGTAGGCTAAACCTACTGGATTCGTTCTCCCATGAAGAGACTGTTATCTGCCTTAAATAAATACTTAAAAAAATTTTTTTTTAAGGGAAGCCAATCCCCCCACGCTACTCCCCCATCTTCAAACCTCTGTCTTGTGTACCAAGCACTTTATGTACTTTACAAACATTAATTCATTTAATCCTCCCAATGACCCCCTAAGGTGGTTACTATCATTATTATCCCTATTTTACAGATGAGGAAACTGAGGCACAGAGAAATTAAGTGCCTCTTCCACTTACACAGCTAGTAAGTGGTAGAGATGGTACTTGAATCCAGGAGAACATACACTCTTAATCACTACACTATCCTCCCCTCCTGCCCTACCCCAAATGATCTGGTATTTAGACCTTTGAATATATGGAGGAAGTGATTGAATGGGGGTAACTCCAGGCATTGGAAAAATGAAGAAAGTCAGGCATCAGAGCATCTCTTGCATTGTTTACAGATATTATCTTTTATTAAATACACAAAAGAAAGAAAAGAAAATTGAATCTCTGTCTCTGGGAATCTGAGTCATGAATTAATTTTCGGGTCAGTTTTCACATACACATCACACCCTTTGAGCCATTCAGATAAATCATGGCCAGAACAGTGCCGGCTCCAAGAATCCCTGGGAAATGAAGGGAGGGAGGGAGGGTGAAGTGAAAAAGTCGATGGGGTGGCAGTGCCATTATCCTTGGCTGTCCATGGTCCAGGCTATCCCCATGAACTTACCAGGCAGTCATACTGTTATGTGACGACACAACCCGCTTGGCACACAAGATGTCATCCAGAATATGGCGATTGAGCAGGTCTGGGGGGAAGAGAGGGACATGGTGATCTGGTGCATTGAGGACAGTGTGACAGTGTATGTAGGGCCCGGGGATTCTGGATTCCTTGGGGTTGAATAACCTCAACCACTACATTGGTTGATTCTGGATGACCTTGACTCTATCATCAGATGGTTGTGTATTAACTCAATCACCATGTTGGCTGGGTCTATACAACCTTAACTCATGCTGACTGATCCTGGATGACCTCAATTGACCTGGATGACATGACGTTGGCTGTTTATGAATAAACCCAATCTCCATATTGCCTGGTCCTGGACAACCTCAAACTCCCTGTTGGCCAGTTCTGAATGACTTCAACTGTCATTTTGTCTGGTTGTGAATGATCTCAACTGCAATGCTGGCTGGTCCAACATCATCTGAACCACCATGTTGGCTAATTGGAAAGCTACTCACTTGCCATGTTGGTCAGTTCTGGTGACTTCAATCACTATATCGTCAGGTCCTAGATAAATTCAACTCCCATTTTGACTGGTTATAAATGATCTCAATCTCCATGTTGGCTAGTCCTGTTCAACCTCAGCTACTATGGTGCCTGGTCCTATATGATCTCAACTGCCATGTTGGCTGGACCAGGATGACCTTAACTGCCATTTGGCTAGTTATAATGATCTCAACCACAGTGTTGACCAGTCCTTCACAACCTCAGCTGCCATTTTGACCAGTATACATAACTTCAACCTCCATGTTGACTGGTCCAGGACATCAACTTACATTTTAGTGGATCCTGGACTACCTCAAACCGAATAACCTAACCTTAATTTTATCTAGTATTGAGAAAAAAACCTCATTATTCCTATCCTGGATAAACTCAACCTTCAAGCTGGCCAATCCTGAGTGACCTCTTCTGTCATGTTGGCAGAGCTTGGACAACTTCAACCTCCTCTTGCGCTGGCCCCAAATAACCCCAGTCTCCATTTTGGCCTGTCTTGGCACAACCTTACCCATCATTTTAGCCAACACCGAACAACTTCAACTGCTATTCTATTTTGTCCTCAACAACACCACACTCTTATCTGGAAAGTCCTCTCATTTATGCATGGAGGTAGTTTGTTTCCATTCCTATACCAAACATCATTTTTACTCAGGGCCTGGACAACATCAATGCCAAATCAGGACAATATCTCTCTCTATTCCACATGGAGCTAAATTTTCTGTTTCCCGAGTCTTAGAAAACTGCAGTGTCCATTCTGGGTGAGGGTTGGGAGCTCTGAGTTCTCCCGACCTAGACAATCTCTCTGTAGTCTAAGTAATGATACAGGATTGTGTCTCTAACAGCCAAGGCAACTTTTCTCCTTTCCCCATCATTCTTCTGCTTGTTGCAGGAGATTATGGCTTAGAATAATCTTACCACGACAATCCATGTGACAAAGGTTCTGGGTGGGTGTGACACCATTGTCACACCACCAGGCAGAGTTCAGCTGGAAAATGCCATATTCGCTGCTGCCATCAGGATTGTGGTCTACGAAGGAGGTGTCAAAGCCACTCTCATAGTGAGCCATGCACAGCCCTGGATCAGGGAGAAGGGAGTTAGGAGATAAGCACAGAGCCTGGGAATAGGGAAGGATAGGGTGAGGTGGAATACAGGGATGGTTGTCATCTCAGTTGTGAGGATGATGATCTTGGTTTGGTTGTGGTGATGTTGGTGATTATGGTGAGATATCAGTGCTGGTGATGTCAATGGTATTCATGGTGATAATAGTGGTGATGCTATTAATTATAGTGATGGTGTTGATAGTAGAGATAGAGGTGATGGTTGTGAAGGCAATGATGGTGATGACATTAGAGTTAGTTCAACTATTCATCACAGTTAGTCAGTGAGTGACCAAAAGGATCATTCTCTGGTTCAGAGAGGTGAAAAATGGCAAGGGGGGCCTGGGTCTGGATGTGGTGGGTGGCTCAGGGTATGGATGGGACTTGGGGCAACCAGAATCTCACAGTCTCCAACGCTGTAGCCCTTGTAGCCATTAAGGCCTGCCTTCTCCAGCTTGGTTGCCAGCTCGCAGCGTTCATAGATCTTGGCATCCACAGTGGCAACCATCAGCGCGGCCAAGGTCACTACCACAGTGCCCCAGGCCTGCATTGTGACACCCAAAAGCCCTCCTAGCTGACACCTTGCTCTAGTCTCACCCTGTGGTGTTCAGAATTATGGACATTCTGGAACTCTGAGCTCTATGAGCAAAGGTCTACGTGGTAGATTCTGGAACACAGGTCTGGGCACCTCACCACTTTCCCCAGTGCCAGCTCTGTTAGAGACCAAGAGACATACACAAGGAAGAAGAAAGATACTGATATATACACAGAAATGGAAGGAGACAAAGGGGGGGGACCCCAGATTTATCTCAAAGAGATGCAGGGAAAGAGGAGGTAGGGACACACAAGGACAGACAGGACTCTGGTACTAGGCCTCACACTGGGCCCATGTTCTCCTACATTCTTTAACACTGTCCCACTCTCCTCTAGTTAATCATGTTCTACCACTGGTTATCTCCATTTTCACTCACTCTGCCACTCATTACCTCTATTAACCCTCCTGCTGAGTATTCAGTGCTGTTCACCACACTGTGCCTGCTACCACCTCTGATTCCTCATGCTCTGCAAAATATGCCTAATGCCCTTGCTCTCGGCCCCTCATAACTTCCAGTAATCCATTGTCTTAGTCTGTTTGTGTTGCTATGACAGAATACCTGAGATTGGGTATTTTATAAATAACAGAAATTTATTTCCTCACAGTTCTAGTGGCTCTGAAGTCCAAGATCAAGGTGCTGGAATCTGGTGATTCTTTCTTGCTGTGTCCTCACATGGTGGAAGGCAGAAGGACAAGAAAGAACAAACCCACTCCAGCAAGTCCTTTTTATAGTTGCACTCATCCCTTCCTGAGGGTGGAGCCCTCGTGATCTAAACACCTCCCACAAGACCCCACCTCTCAACACTGTTGCATTGGGGATTAAGTTTCTAACACCTGAATTTTGGAAGCGACACATTCAAATCAGAGCACTCATCCTTGACACCTTGTTTACCTTGCTGCACTTACTGTGCTGTCCTATCCTAATTTGCTGGAGGAATCTGCCCCATTTGACACATTACATATTACAAATGACATCATATATACACATATATATGTATATATATATTTACATACATATATATATACATATATGTATATATATATTTACACTCAGCTGCTTTGTCACCTTCATTCTTATTCTACCTTTTAGTCCCGTGTTCATTTACACTACCTCTCATCCACTTATATTCACTCATACCCGGCCTCATGCTATCCTAATTCCCTAAACTTCTACTTCTCATTACCCAAATTCGTTCACATGATATTCCTTTTCATGTCCATTCGCTCTCAGACTCATATCCTACTTTCACCTCCACTTCCTGCTGCCACATCAGATGACTCCTGCTCACTCTCAAGTGGCCCCTTTGTTTATTGACTCGGGCCCTCCTTATCTCCCCCATTCACTCCCTTTTTGCCCGTTCTTCACCTCTATTCTCTCAGATGCTGCCTACATCAGCCCCATTTCCTAGAACTCCACCCCATATTCCTCCCAAACACTAGCTCAAGTTCCCCTTATACACTCACTGTACACTTGGTCACCTCCATCCTGTCCCCATTTTCTCTTCATTGTCCCCACGTATTCTTACTCTGCTTCTCATTACCTCATTCATTGAAATCCACTACCAGTGTAACCCGTTATCCTTTCTCACTCAAATTCTGCTCCTGAGTCATGTCTAGTTGTTTCCACTCTGCCCCTCAGCACCCCCATTTGGTCACACTTTTCCTTGAATTCTCACTTTTCACTCACATGGGGCTCTGTATTTTCCCACTGTCCTCACCCCTGGCCGTGTGACCTTTGTCCCCTCCCTGCCTCACAATACCCACCTTTACTCACCTGCTCTTCCGTTCCTCTCACTCTGCCTGACAGTGCCTCCATTCATGCATGCTCTTCAGCCCACTCATGCTTGCTGATTCCCCCTGGGGCTCCTGGACCACTACCCTGCACTATCCCATCTAGTCCCAATCTGCCCCTCTCACCTCCCATCACTCTCCTCTCTCCAAGGACCCCCAACTCAAACAAATGCGGCCTGGTTTACACTCTACCATGTATTCAGCTCCATTCCCTCTTCTTCTGCCCCTCCTGCACCCCATTCTTCCCTCCATGCCCCACATTACTCCCATTCACTCCTACTTTCCCCCAACTCCCCTCTCTTTACTCATACCATGCCTCATAAGTCGTGTTTATTCACACTCTCATCCTTAGCCCTCATATCAACTCCATTTGCATTTGGCACCTTTCATTGCCCCATTCATTCATGGTCTGCTCCCACTGCACCTTTTATCACTTAGATTGTGTCTCCTTTTCTCACCTTTCACTCAGTCTCATTGTAATCTCAAATTAATTCACAATCAAATGCATAGTCATTCTGTCTGTCCCACATTCACTCCATTCTGCTGCTCATTCACCTCCATTCTGTCACCCTTTGCCTCTTGCCCCCATTCACTCCCAGTTTGTCTTTCAGTCACCATTATTCACTGCCCGCCAGTCCCATGTGTCTCCTGCTCACTGACACTCCCAGTGACTAAGACAGAAAAGTCAGGATTCAGTTTGGCTGCACATACCAACACCACCACAAATACCAGTGGCTTCAAGAGGATGGAAGGGGATTCTTCTTTTAGAGATGAGCAATTCAGGGCTAGTGTGGTGGCTCTGAGGTCACCAGAGACCTGGCTCTTTCTGCGCTGTTGCTCTGCCAACTTCACCTGCTGCCTGGTGGCCCAAAATGACTGCTCACAATTGGCAGTACTTTCATAATTTTGATACAATGTGTCTGAAGAGCAATTGTAATGATGACTCGCCAGCCAGGGGGGCGGGGGAGGCTTTTCTCATTGTCTTTGGGTGGGAGTGTCACATCATGCAGACTCTGTGGTGGGACTAGCCACCTGTCAGCTTCCTGCACCCCTTCACCTAGCCACCTGCTGCTTAGGCTACTGAATGAGGAGATTGTACCTGTAGGGACTTATGGTGGGATGCCCACAATAGAGTGTGGGGGTCTTGGCTCTGCAGCAGAAAAGTTGGCCTCATATAGCTTGTGCATGTGCACTGTGGGCCCTGGGACAGTTTCTGAGTGGTTGTATCACTGACTTAGAAACATTTCTGGAGCTGGCAATTACTACACCCCAATTCCTACCAACCCTAAAGGATTCCCCTCTTTGTATAGGTATGTGTGGACAAGGTAGTGGGGATGACATTTAGGAGATGGAAGGGCCAGACTGTGACAGACCCTAAAGGTCCAGCTCTTTCCATTTCCCTCCTCCTAATGCATTGAGACAGTGGGCAAAGTTTGTACCCAAGAGGTATTGATACTTTAAGGAGCAAAAGACTTGAGTTCCTCTGTTGCTTTCTCCCCTTTTTTAAAATATTTTTTTATTTTTAATTATTATGGGTATATAATAGTTGTATATATTTATAGGATACATGTGATGTTTTGATATGGGCATACAATGTGTAATAATCAAATCAGGGTAATTGGGGTATCCATCACCTCAAGCATTTATTATTTCTTTGTGTTAGGAACATTCCAATTCTACTATTTTAATTATTTTAAAGTATACTATAACTTATTGTTGACTATAGTCACTTTGTTGTGATATCAAATATTGTTCATTCTGTCTAACTATCTAAATATATTTTTGTACCTATTAACCATCCCCATTTTATCCCCTCTTCCTATAACCTTCTCAGCCTCTGGTAACCATCATTCTACTCTCTGTCTTCAAGAGATCAATTATTTTAGAATTTAGCTCCCTCATATGAGTAAAAACATGCGAGATTAGTCTTTCTGTGCTTGGCTTATTTCATTTAACATAATGTTCTCCAGTTCCATCCATGTTGTTGCAGTTTTCTCTCTTTACCTTGTCTGCCAGGGAGCTCTCTTCCTTGGCTAGTTTTAATGGGCTCCTTAGATGCCTTCTGGAAGTTCTGTAGGATATTGAATAAACAGAAGTCTATTGGGTAGAAGTTATGGATCTGACCTTGGGAACTTGCGTGACCTTGGGCAAATTACTTAATCTCTCTGGAATTCAGTTTCCTTATTTGACAGGTGGGGGTCATAAGACTGTTGTAGTGACTATCTGAGGCAGGTCATGTCATGTGCTTCACACAGTGTCTGGCACACACGAGATAATTGAGTTATATCACTTGCTGTGCTGTGCCTTGGCAGTAGTGTCCTCACTGGTCTTCCTATTCCCACCCTTGCCCTCTGCAGTCTGTTCTCCACAAAGCAGCCAGAGTCATCTTTTAATTTTTTTCCTTCTTATTTAAGAAAGTTTTATACATATACACATCAAATTTTATTTAAATAATAATAAACAAATGTTTATGTGCCACGCATTGTTCTAAACCCTTTAAAATTATCAACTTATTTGTTACCACAACCCTAACGAGGTAGGCACCTGTTATCATCCCACTTTTATAGTGAGGAAACTTAGCACAGAGAAGTTAAGAGTTGTACCCTAGGTCACACAGCTGGTAGGTGAGGGTTTGAACTCAGGTGGTCTCCATCATATTTGTTTGTTTGTGTCTGTTTTTTCCCTGCTATCTTTTCAATCTAGAACACTACCTGGCATACAAGAGGTGCTTAAGCAAATCCCCATGGAGGTCATATTCTAGTGAGGCAAGATAGGCAATAAACAAAGAAGTCAAACATACGTGTGTTTTTAACGTTTATAATGCTCGATTTATTCACACTGATCTTTAAAAAATCTGATCCCTCCTATGGCTTCCCATTGTGTCCATAATGAAATATGAGCTCCATCTCTGGTTGAAGAGGCCTTATAGCACTTGCCCCACCCTACCCACACCTCCTACACTCCCAACACGCTGACACTGTTTCTGCCCAGCCAGAGAAAGCAACCTGTTGGCCACTACTTAATACACCTCTTTCACCCCTGGGGCGTGTGCCTGTGTGTCCCATACCAGCGTTCATTTATTCTTCAACTTGCCTGTCTGCATACCAACCTACCATTCTCATCCTTCAAACGTTACTATGGAAACTCCCAGCCTTAGCCACTGGATGGAGCCAGTGGCTTTTCCCTACCTCCTAATTGTGCTCACAGAGACTCTGTCACGCAGCTGTCAATTACACCTGCAACCCCGT